AGGCCAGCCTGGACTACATCATAAGACTCTTTCTCAAAAAGAAAAAAATTCTCAGCTACAGAAAAGAAAGGGTCCAGAAATTTTTCTGATGACTTAGAATCTACAGGAGTCAAGGTTTATATCGGTGGCCCCCAGGCCTCATGCCTTTGCATCGTGCATTTGTGACTGGTTCATTGTCTAGCACTTGGATTGGGGGTGTGAGTGCTACACCGGCCTAGGGGTGGAGCCAGGATGTGATGTAATGGAAGGAAGAAGGTGTGTCTCTCTCTCTTGCAGATTTCTGCCTTGCTGTTTGCAGCCGCCTTGAACTGTGGTCCAGCCATGCCACCCTGCCTTGGAGCCAACTGATATGGACTGAAACCTCCAAGAACTGTAAGAAATAAACCTTTGTTTTCCCAGCTTTGGGCTTCAGGTATTTTGTCTCAGCAACCAGTAAAAACTAACTAAGACAATAGGCATTTGGAAATAATAACCCAAAGAAAATCAATCTTAAGTATAGAAAGAAAAGCAAACAAAAAAATGCGGATATTGGGCCGGGGCCCAATATCTTCACGTTGTTGACATTTTTCTTCTTCTGTCACTAGATTTCCCTGTCTTCTCTGTACTGTGTACCGTAACACCATCGCTGTTAATCTCAGGTGTGGCTGCTGATTTGTTTAGGCTGTTACAGCAGAATTTGGCTTTATTGAATTCTCAGCATGAAAACAATCCTTGCTAAAAGCAAAACTCCTCCTAGAGGAGTGATGAGCTGCTGTCTCTGTGAGGGACCCCACCCCCTTTCTGCCAGCAATAGGCCACTGAGGTAAACTAGGGAAGGGATCTTCCCTGAGGAGTTATGCACAGTGCCAAAAGGGCTCTATTAAGGTGTGGGTCTAAAATGTGCCCCCAAATCTGTGTCCAGAGGTAAGGATTTGGAAGGTGGTTGATCCATGAGGGTGTGATGCTCCTTGGTAATGAGCTCACAGTTAAGTTCTTATTAGACAGTGGAGCCCAATGGGAAGAGGTGGAGGACTGAGGGGCTCCTTTGGAGCATGAGCCTCCCTCCCAGCTCCTCCTCTCTATCCCTGCTTCCTGGCCACCATGAGATAAGAAGCTTTCCTTGCCGTGACCTTGGGGCCAGCTCACCATGGACTTGATTGTCTGACCCAGGTAAGGCAAACCAAACCTCTCCTCCTTTGAGTGTTTGGGATCAGCTGTTATGCATCAGTGACTGGCAGGTATGTGCTTTCCACAAGGGACTGCACAGTGCCAAGACCAGCCCGAAGCCACAGAGCAGTGAAGAGCAAGGGCAGAGCGGATGGGGCCATACGAGCTGTCCCCGCTCTGAGGTCCTTTCCTTCCTCCTTCCTCCTTCCACGGAGATCTGCTCCCATGGGCCATCAGGTGTGTCAAAGAGCTCTGGGAACTCCCATTTCCATCTTCTGGTACCTCAAAACACATCAGTCCAACCCCACCGATCTCTATGCATCCCTCTGTCTAGGATATCCAAGCCTGGGCTGTCCCCCGGACAAAAGGCTGAACTTCTCCCAAGGGCCAGCACGTACCCTTGATCTTCTTAAGCACATACCACACTCCTCCTTTCCTGCCCCCGCTGCAGCCCACGCTGCCCACCAGTGTTGTACCAGTCATGTGCATTGCAGTCACCCACTCACTCCACCAACCACCCAGCCTAGCCAGCCCTGGCTTTTGAAAGACAAGGCTCTGCCTCTTTGATCTTTCCCTCACAATTGCCTAGGACAGTCACTAGCACAAGGGGACAATGGGTGGAAATCTGTGGATGGAATAAATGAATAGCTAGGCATGATTCACATCTTCCTGGAGCCTCTGCTGTTGGGGCAGTCAGCTCTCCAGTCCAGCCCCCTCATGACAGAAAGCCTTGCCACTGCACTGTGGGCTTCTCATTCCTCCATGCACAGGCATCGATTTAGTTTTTCTAGTAACCCTGGGTGAAAGGGTGTTATTATAGCCACTTCATTATAACTTCTAAAATAAAGTTCAAAACATAATGAGATCCAGCCAAGGACATACAGTTATTAACTGGCAGAGACAGAACTTGAACTCAGCCTTAGTGAAGACCAGTTCACATCATCCCTCAATAATAATATTTGCTCCATCAAACCATGAGCACCAGGCAGCAGCTCTCCTCCTACTTCGGGTCTAAGAAGCAGAGGAAGGATGTCAGACCCAAACTGACTGATGCAAAGGCTTTCATGATCAGCATAGGAAAGCTTATAAAATCAGTGAGAAGCTCAATAATGGGCAGCCCCCAAGAGCAGGGAAGGCCAGCAAAGACAGCAAAGACAAACCTAGCAGGACACCCTGACTGAGGTGGCACCATTCTGGTAGCTTCTTGCAACTTTACACCACTCTTTCAAGAAGCAAATTCAGGAGATGGCCCAATTGGACACTAGCCCCTCTCCAGCCAGACGAGTTTGTCTTCTTCTTATCAATGCAATTTTATGGACTTTGTTGGAGACCACAAATTCAGTGGCTAGTTTTACATTCTTCCCTAAGGGATGAACAGAGGGTTGAAGGTGATGGCAAGTCCCATCATCTGCTGCAGAACAATAAGTATGTGTCTGCACTGCTGCCTAGAGAAAATGATGCTCTCAGGAACAGATTCTGGTCCCCATGGAAAACCACTCTCCACAGCAGAACTGGAGACTTTTAGGCTATCACAGCCCCAAATCACCACCCAGCAAAGTCTTGGACTGCCCTGGGTCCCTGGGCACCCAGCACACCTCTGCTCTCCCACACACGCCCCTCACCAGCTTGCTTGCCAAGTTAATCAGGAAGTCCTCACTCTGACTCACCCACCACCAGCCTGCTGGCTGGGTGGTCAAGAGTCTCTGCTCTCCTCTCAGGTTCCCGAGGAAAATGGGGCTCCTGGGCTTGGAGAGCTCCCAGGGGTAGCTCACAGCAGACTTCAACCTGGTAGCAGGAAGACTCCAGCATTGCACTGTGCAGCTCAGGAGCTGCAAGATGGGTCTCATTCATTAGCCTGCAGTCAGATTCCCCAGGGCTGGAGCAGCACTCCCAACAGTACGATAGAGCTCCACTGGTATTTACCAAGCCTCTGTGTGCCAGACGCCAGACCAAGTACTAAGGATTATTCAGACTCTAACTCCGTGTCACACACAGGAACTCCCAACTTCTCACCACCAGGTCAAAATGCATCTAAACCCACCCAGGGAGGTCAAGAGTGCTGCAAAACAGAACACAGGGACAGCAGGGTCAACGGCTATGAGTGGCCAAGGGGCCAAACATAACAGCTGGAGCCCAAGGAAGGGTGCTGTTGCCTTGTTACTGGGCGGTGGAGACAGATACCTGGTCTAAGTCTCTGCTGACACCCTGAGCAGGAAGACCCCTCATTCATGTTGCAGGGGGCTCAGAAGGTCATGGTCTGATACTGTGATGCCTCCTCCACAGATCCTAAAGCTCCTAGCTCCCTGCCTTCCTCCACCTTTCAGAATCTTCTGTTTGTCTTATATACAATGCAGGGCTTCTGCTGGACCCAGAGCAGGGATGGCAAACCTTTTAGAGACTGAGTGCACAACCCACTTATTTATCACCAAGTGCAACACTGCCACTAAAGCTGAATGTTCAGCTGCCAGGGCCAACATTCAACTTAATCAACTTGGCTCACATGCTGGCAAGGAAGGCTTTGTGTGTCTGCTGCGGCAGGCGTGCCACAGGTTCACCACCACCAACAAAGAGGAAGAAGAATAGAGAAACACTTCTCCAGTTCCTGGAATCTGCAGCAGTACAGAGACTGCTGGCCTCTAGGGACCATTTAATGAGGGCTGGAGCGTGTGTCCAGCACAGGTCCCAGCAGCCAAGATGGTGCCTTCCCTACCCCTGCCTGGCCAGGATCTCAGCACAGCCACAAGCTGTGACCACCGGTTCCTGGAAAGGTGGAAGGGCTGAGCCCAGCGATGCAAAAACTGTCACTGTCTCTGGATTTCAGCCTGTTCTCTCCGACTGCCAGGATGATTTGCTGTGCTCCACTTCTGGCAAATAACCAGCAAGGAAGAAATGAGCACATTTATGGATTACTCAACAGTGTGCAAGCCCAAGTGTTGTTTTAAGTACGATTTCTGCCAAAATAATCATTTCCCACCACTGATTCTTCATTTCGAAAATAACCTTTGAAATTGTCTTCTCTGTATTACATGTCCACCTGTACATTTTTAATCTACTTTTAAACTACAAAGCTCAATTTAGAAATGTCCACTAACTTACACAAATCAATACAGAATCAGCTGGCTTTGAAAAAAAATGTACTTTTTGGCCTGTTTGCCGTGAAAACAGAAAAGCAGTTATTACTGAGATCGGCTTCATAGTCAATGTCATTTTAAGGACATCAAACAATAGTTGCAGCATAAAACTGAAGCAAATTCAGATGTTTTACTGCAACAGTCATCTCTGAAGTAGCGCTCAACTGTAAGCACACCAGAAAACGCAACAGAATGTTCTCATAACTGGAATTTTAAAAATCAGAAGACGCATTCGCCCTTCACTCTCCAGGGTCCTTCCTCTCAGCCCTCCTTTGTGTCCGCCACTTGCTAAGTTGTCCAGGTCACTTTCACAGCCCCGAATGACAGCAGGCTGGCTGCACCCTGTGTCAAGGCACAGACCTTGAGAACCGCTCATGGGGTGAGAGCCCCCAGCCCTCTGCTTGCCTCTCCACACAACCCAACATGCCCGCGAGACTGAATCGGGAACCACTGCTGGCCACCACCTGGGCTGCAGGACTAACACGCCCCACTCACAAAACTGCTGGGGTGAGCAGACGCCAGGGAAGGGAGAGAAACAAGCACCCCTTCCACAGCATCCCAGTAAGATGAAGGCTTGCTTGGAGACTCACGGCCACCAGAAGACTCACAGTGAACCCCCCCGCCTCCTACCCGCTCAATCATGGGGGAAGAGAACAGAAAGTCTGTCCACATCCCCGTGCTTCCGCCTCTTGCCCACTACCCCTCCCAGAGGAGCTCACTTACCGGATCCACAAGAGGAGGTCTGCAGTGACTGTCGACCATCCCCTCTAGGGGTACCCCGTTCCCACACCTGCCACCTCCACGTGGTCCTGCACCATCTTCCCTGTGCCCTCCATGATCCACGCACGGGTGATGCGTGTAGACCACGTCAGGTTCCTGTGAGGGGTGGGACACAGGGGCAACTCATTCAGGCTCTGCGCCCTGGTGGCCTGTAAACACCGCCTCCTCCCTACACAAAATGCACTGGCTCCCCTCCACAAATTCTGTGGAGGACACTGTGACAACACCTGCAAATACACACATCACACACTGGCAGCTGCCTGACAGTCTGTGTCCCTCTTCCCTGCTGCCTCACCCCGCCCCTCCCCCGGCACCCTTCGCTCCCCACCCTTTTCCTTCCCATGTCCTCCCCTTCCACTGCCCCCCACCCTCTACCCCTCCTGTCTCTCTCCTTCCCCTGCCTCCCCACCCCGAGATGGATACTTGCTTCGCAATAGCCTACACGCACCCTGAGAGCAGAGTCTAGTGCTGGGTCTGACGTAAACAGGGTCCAGTGAACATGCACTAATAATGTATTCATATGAACACGCCAATCCTTCTGCCCCTCACAGCTCAACCTAACATGCCTAGTTAAACTATGGAGCACAAAGACTGCATTCTCTCAACGTGCTCTTTGCTGTTTTCTCCTCCCTGTTTTATATAGTACTGGGAATTGATCCCAGGACCTTCTCACTGAACTACATCCCTGTTATCTTTTATTTTGAGACAGTCTCACAAAGTTGCCATCTTAGTCACTGTTCTCATCACTGAGAGTATCACAATTCCCACAATTTAAAAAAAAGAGCCTCATCTTGGCTCGCTGTTTTCGAAGTTTTAGGATGGGCCACATCGGCCACCTCCACGTGGACCCGGAAGTCCTCCCAGGAAAAGCCTGCAGAGGCCGGAAGCCAAGAAGGGTGGGAAAGAGCTGCAGCCTCTAGGCCACGCCCACAGGCCCGCCCAAGGCCCCGCCCCTTAGCCATCTGCCGGGTCTATCACTGGATGGATAGGCTCCTGATCCAATCACCTTCTGGAAGAAAGTAACCCTTTCCTTCTCCACCTATGTCGCCTTCAGTGCCACTGTGACACACCGGAAACCCCACCCCGGTGCGCCTGGACTGTGACCCGCGGTGAGCCCAGGAGTGCGTGTCCCCTGGAGGGGCTTCGCACGCTGCCACTGCCTCTCCTGGGTCCCACGGTACAGCACGCCTCCCGGGCCAGCCTGCCTGTCAGGGATCCAACTACTGCTCCAACCTGCGAACTCCACTCCGAATCAACGAGTTTCAGGAGGCCTGCTCCTTCGGGCGCAGGAGAAAACCTTGCAGAGCTAAAGTAAGATATTATCTCTGAGGCCAGTGCTAGATACACTGGAGGGGCATGTTCCGTACGTGCACACACACATGCACACGCCTCCTGCCAGTGTAGGTATAAACCCTCCCTCCGCCCCGGAACAGAACGCAGAGCCGGGCCGAGTGTGTTTTCGTAGGATGGGCACCCTCAGCCCTGCCCGGGTTCCTGTGCTGGGTGATGAGTGTGGTGGTTCCCTTCTGTGCCGTCAGTCGTCTAATAATATCCCTTGATGGGCCAATAACATCTTCTCAGCTTTATGAACAACATTGTAAGGCTTATTTCCTCTTTAGGTCGATCCGCACCACAGTAAAAACAGGCCTCTCCCATCATAAATCCAATCTTCCCGCATTGCTCGCTGGTTCCACAGGCCCCAGTACAGGCTGCCGGGGTGGGGACAGAGGCCGGCACCCGAAGGCTTCAGTCTAACTCAGCCACCTGCGCAGAAGGAAGAGGTGGCCAGAAACAGAGATGGATGGGGACAAGGCCATGGAACCGCAGGAGAGCTTCACAGAACTGAAGGGCTGGCCCGAGGAGGAAGGCAGAGGGGAAATGGCCACCCACTGTAACTCCCCAAGGCGCGGCAAGGTGGGATGCCATCTGGGGACTGGGAAGGCTGGAAGCTCAGAGAATGAGTAACCTGGCGCCTCTCTGCTGAGTGTCAGGTTAAGAAAAAAATGAAGGTTGCTGTAGTGAAGTCGGAGGAGGTCACTGGAGTCCCTGAAGCTCATAAACCAGGCCGGGTGGAGTCCCCGAGCACAGAGCCCAGAGTTAAATGGAAAGGGGAGCCCAAAAGATGGAGGCTTTAGCCACACATTTCCAGGGAGAAAATAGTTCTGCACATTTACATATTTTATTCTTAGCTCCAAAATATTTCCTAGCCATGTGACCCTGTGCGCTGGCTCAGCCTTGAGGGGGCAGTCAGGAGAAAGGAAGCCAGAGGTCAGTGCCTGTGAGCAGAAGATGGACTCCAACTAAATGGGGTGGGTGGAAAAAAATAGTTACATAAAGCAAGATAACAATAAAAGGAAGGTACACAGCAAGTATGCTGAACTTAAAACCTTGTCATAAGAAGAGCCCACGCCATCCTTTTGTGTCCTTCGAGACAATAATTTTTAAGAAGAAAAGAGTGTCCCTTAGTGATTTTTGCAGGTTAAAAATTGAAAAGTTATCAAAGTAAGGAAAATTAGTTTTATCCTTTTATTTGCAGTAAGAATACAGGTTGGATAATGGTAGAACTATGCCACTAATGTTTGATTTTTGTCACTCAGGAGTTGAACATTTTCCTAGCAAAGGGAAAGCCCTGAGTTCACCTTTCGTACTGAAAAAAAAATAGACAAATGTCACCTCTGTGCCAACTCCAGACTTCAGGCCCTGAGGATTCCGGGCAGGGAGGGAGGGAAAGTTCCCCCAACCCCGCCCTCCTTTACAGAGCCTCTGCTGGAGATCTCCCCCTCCAACCACAGGGGTGTGACCCAAGACCCACCTGCTCTGCTCTCCCCACCCTGGTTCACTTGCTTGACCTGGAAATGCTGCTTTTCCTTCAGTTCTAGGAAGTTCTGTGTCTGTCCGAGGTCAGGTTTCATCCTTTGGACTACTGTTGTGACACAGTAGGATGACACAGTTACACAGCTGCAGCTCTGGCCACAGGGCCTTGGGTCCGCAGCTGCCACACACTGTCGTCTAGGGTTTCCCCAAGGACCAGGACAGGACCCTGGCCAAGCCAAGACCACTCACCAACTGGCCACGCTGAGACCCTCACCACTTCTGAAGAGTGGCAGGAACTCACCATGCCGTGCAGCCTCCACTGGATGCTGCTGTGTCACCCGACATCCTCTCCTCCCCAACCCCACTTACCCTGTGGCTCAGCTCCCATGGGCTCCATCCCTTCACCCACTCCCCACCAATACTGAAAATCCTGGGAACAGCTTAACCTCCCTGAGGGGAAAGGCACTGCCATTTCCCCTGGAAAGTCCTCTTGCAAATCCCTAAAGAGGTTCTGGTAATCATAATCAGACATTTTGATCTGCCTGCTTCTCCTCCCATGCAATAAAAGTGTACTACCTGCCACAGGCCTACAAAACATTGAAATGGGAGTGCCAGGTAGAAAAGCACAGTATGTATACACGAAATACCCTGGATTATATATAAAAAACAAAATCACAAAGTAATTTCAGTTCCTTTGCAAGGGTTGAAATTCAGTCACATAAGGTTAACTGATAAAATCAATGGGAAATTTTCTTGTTATTCAAAGGCAATGAATGACTCAGCAGAAGCTAAGTGGACTCACCGGGAGGCAAAAATAAAATTGTCCTTGTCAGCAACTTTACATGAAGAGAGGCTTTTCAATATTCCTCTTCGACCTGCAAACTTCTGATACAAAAACTGGAAAAAACATTATTATTCAGCAGCCAATGGCAGAGCCAAGGCATAGGCAGGCCAGATGGGAGATTTCACAAATAAATTCCTCCACTCTGTCCCAGACCACCCAAAATACCTGCTCCGCACAGCCATGCACCAGGGTCTCAGACCCTGAGGAAACCCCAAGGAGATGGGGGAGAGGCCCAGGGAAACTGGATTCTTCTAGACACACATTATTTCTCCCAGTGTGAGGCTCTGGAGATGCAAACAAGCCAAATAACTTGGCCAAAAGCAGAACAGTCATGCCATGTCAGTAACAAAGAGGAACCAGACCCAAGCTATGACTTGTCCTGTGCCCACCACCCGCCCTCACTGTGTATGTCTGCTGCTCCCCAGAAATCATCATGCTAAAAGAAACTTCTGGAAATCCAATCAGTCCAAGAATATCATCAAGGCCTCTTCGGAGAGATCGACACTTTGCAGGTCTCCCAGTGCATGTGTTTATGTAAATGGCAGTAAACAAGCCTGATTTATATCCGGAAGCTCAATACAAGCTTCGCTTGACTTTGCATAAGTGATTTTAACCTTCAACTTTGGGTAGGTGACATTTAAACACAAAAGTCAAAGCCGTGGAGGAAAACACACCTGAAGAAAAGGGGTATGTGGATAAATAAGCCCCAGCCAGCCTGGAAAACTTGAGGAAGGAAGGGAGCCAGTATTCTGCAAATCCTGGGAACCAAAGCGAGACAGCAGCAGTGGAGCAGGGAGAGGAGAGCCACATAACTTCTAAGGCGTCCAATCCATCCTGCCATCGCCTCAGAGGTGGGATTCAGGAAGCCATGAATCTCCCACCCACTCCCTGGGCTCAGAAAGCAAGGCAAGTCCCTGGTCCCTGGATCAGAATATGAGCGATGTGGACTCTGCCCAGTGAACTAGCCCCCCCAAACCCAAAAATGCCTCCTGACAGCTCATGAAGTTTAAAGAGGTGGCAGCTCCTCCAAAAGGAGAGAGAATACTAGTCCACTTAGATGTGGCTCAGCCACACCTGTGCACACTTTTAAAAGCCAGGTTCTTATAGTTCTAATAATTCTGGATAATGAGTATCCTGTCTGCCTCATCGATCACCTAATTTCAGGTGCAATTTATACATATAAATAAAGTACCCGTTTCGAGGTGTCCAGTTCAATAGGCTTCAACGAGTATGCACAACCTGTGTGAAAACACGCACACAATCACAGTGTGGGACATTTTCATCCTCTCGCCTGGCTTCTGACTTCTCCCACCCCAGCCGCTGCAAACACTGATGTGCGCTGCACTCCTGGACATAATTTTCACCTTCTCCACACCTTCACCTAAATGAACCATGGGGTCTAAAGATGTGTGTATTCAGTTTCTTTTGCTCCATATCATGGTATCACCGTTCATCAATGTCAC